CAATCAACATTCATGGAGGTATCACTGAGGTCAAAGAATATGGAATGGCATGCCAAATAAATGAGCGCTCCGACTTAATTTTCTAACCTGTTTTATCAAAATCTGAGGGTACGTTGCGTTTATTCTACTTCAACCAGATTGCATTTTCTCGAGGATGGCGTCAGGCAGTGTAGAGTAGAAGTAACAAAGCTATATATAACGAAAAACGGTAGCTTTTATTACCCCTCAACACGGGGATAAAATAGGGAAAATTATTCACTTTTGCGAATGTTGTGTTCATTTTATTTAAGGTTTAATGTACTTTTGATGAGAATGATACTACATCGTGGAGAGCAGATGTGACCAGGCTGACAAGCGATGCGAACAGGCTGAATAACAACGGGAAAACATGTAAATCAAAGGCCAATTTCTAACAAACGGAAAACACTACTGTGATATGAGCCAAACTTTTGAATGACGAACTTACGTTTGCAACATAATCAGCGAAGATACGCCTAAGATACCGGGTGGTTTAGGTACTAATTTGATTGTCTGTAATGCATCATGCATATTCCAGAAGAGAACTGATAAAAGGTTTCCTTCGGACCCGCATAATGAGCAACACCAGCAGGGAGTAAGATAGAAAAAGTGGAACAGTCCAGCATTTATTGTACTGTACCAAGAGCTTAAGACCGGTGCAGTTCCAACGCTATAAACAGCAGAAACTGAGACGAATTTAAACGAAATTTGAACAAAATTTTGTTCACACAGAGAGGGATAGACCATAACGGACGGTGGTGACTCGGTGCAAAAAGGTCACCACATTCTCACCCCGGAAGAAGTCAGTTCCAGTCAAACCACCACCACCTGACATTCCCAGTTATGTGTTCCATGGCAGCTCTTTGATCGGCCGCTTCCCCTTTTCTGGAAGTTGTTATTGTACGCACAATAAAAGGAAGTAAAAATGAAAAAATAGTGCGGAATTACTGAGCGAAACAATTATACAAATCAAGGTAGTGAGAGACGGACGACACATAAAAGAGGGGTGTGAAAGATGTTAGTAAACAGCAGCCTTCCCATATTTATCTCCTTCCCCAGACCTATGGGATGAACGCTCCCAGCATATTCCAGCGCTTCCAAGAGGATTTCCTGCGAGACAGGGACGATTGCCGCGGCACATACTTATCACATGATGCCATCGATGACCAATTTATGTGCCTCATTTTTATCAGAGCACTGCAGAATCCAGAAGATGCCGGCATTCGTACCTGTTCACTATCCAAACTGGACCAAGATCCGGATATGAACCTGAAGTCTCTTACGATCCAGTGCAAACGTCTTCTCTCCTTGAAACATGACACTGTGTTGGTCGAACAGGAAACTTCCATAGCTGACTTTGCCCAAAGAATTATCCATTTGTGACGAACTACCAATCTGTGAAACGCCCTCTGCATGTTTTTCGTGTGACGAATAGCATTTTGTACGTTTTTATGCCTCCAAAAAGCATAACTGTAAAAAGTGCAATAAACGGGGTCACAAGGAGGAATGCTACTGGTCAACCAAACACACTGAAAGCAGTCAGAGGAAAGTGGTTCACAGAAAATCCAACAAGCAGTTTTCAGAAGTACAGTCAGTTGTTGCAGCTTTTTAAACAGATTACCAGCCCAAGAGAAAATTCTTTACTGTGTGCATTAATGATAAATCAGAAAAACTGCAGTTGGACACAGCCTCAGACATCACTCTAATCTCCAGAGGCACATGGAACCGCATCAGGATGCCAAAAATGATTCCATCTACCAAAAGAGCGAAGAATGCGTCAGGAGATGAGCTGAGACTGACTGGTGAAATCATAGATGACATTTCGTTCCGAGGCATTACCACAAAAAGAACATGTTATCTGACCGATCGACCCAACCTGGACCTCCTTGGTCTTGATGCGATCGAAAAGTTGGGATTGTTTGACGTCCGCATGAACGAAATGTGTGCCATCAAGTCCGCAAGCAGAACGGCATCAACACACAGCATCTTGCATTTTCATCCGAAGTTGAACGGTCAAGAGGAGAGAGAGTCATGAGTATGTTCAAGAGGGCAATTCAGAAATCAAAAGGGTGATAGCGCAGTCCCAAAATTCAGACGAATATCTCAAAAGGGGAGGTGTCAAGAGAAGCCTAACCTTCTCCTGGGAATTCTCACAGTATGTCAGAAATGGATTGGGATCAGTCGCGACCGTGTCGGCATTTTCTCGATTGTAATGGATACGTGGGAGTCAGAGTAAATCTACAGAGTACGGTGACCTGATTTCTGGCACCCACGCAATCCCCATTCCAGACAAGTGTCTATAGACAGTGAGCAACCCCATAAATACCGCACGTTTTCTTACCTTACTTGACCACGATCACGTTTTGGCTAACGATATCAATAAAGGCTCGCACTGTTTTCCAACTGTCTTTTTATTGGAATCGTTGGATATGCATCGTAAGACCAGGTTCTGTGACAGTTCGGCAAGACAAAACACATGAGAACATACGCTCCACGGCAAATTGTTTTCATTGATTCATCTTCTAGGCTGTACAGATCATATAATGAAGTGACATGTGAAAAAGGGTGAGACAGACATTCCATCGTTCAAAGGCCAAAATGATTGGTTGGAAGAGCGATGTGGGATAAGTGGTGCGACGTGTTTCACACGACTGTCACCATAACACTGTAATCAAGTTATGATGCGTCATACTTGCGAAAGATCTTTGGTCACGGCCACTGAATGGCATGGGTCAATCTCTTTTGTGTACATAGGTTGAGTATAAACAAACGAATACCAATCGCTTCCGCAGTATGGAGATGCAACATGTTAAATGAGTGAGATGGTACTCGGTAGATAACAGTGAAGATTGATTTAAGCTTCACTTGGTGACCCGAGTCTACTAGATGAACGAGCAAAGCACTTCCTGTGACACGTTTTCAGCCGTGTCGAATCCAGCATGGACGGTGCTCTTTAATACCCTCGCTGTTCAATCAATGTATGTCACGTTAAAAACACAGCGGAAGGAATAAATAACCGTGGATGAGGCCAGCGTATGTAAACTGTTTTTAATTGGAAATTCTCATCATTTTGGATCCTGTGAATACGCATTAAAAACAGAATGCATGAGGGCTCCTCTCACAGCAAGCGCCAAACGTTTTCTAATGAGATCAGACGGCTCGTATCTTTTGAATGGNAGTTAGATAAACAGCTTCTTCTTTGGAACTTCCTGTAAGGAATCGTGTTTCGGTCTCACTTCCAGATTACTTTCGATTATTCTCTCAGAGTATCCGTCTTACCTGATCATGTTCTTAATTTCACCAGGCTCATCTGTGAACGTGGATTCGGAGCATATCTTTCGTACACGCAAGACGAGGTTTCTCTTTTGTTTAGGTGGAACGAAACTGGGAAAGCTAGTGCACTGTCCGGTCCACGTTTCTTCCCTGTATACCCTTGTTTCAAGCAGTTCCACAATTGTTCCGTACATCGGACCGTCAAAGAATGCTGATTTATTATCTTTCTTTGCTTCCAGGGTGAACGAGATGAACTTTTGAGCCGTGTCGAACGTTTGCGTGATTTGTGACGGATCCTTCTCTTTGGTAAGTATGTCAAATATGTCGACAACATGTTGCTTACATAACTTAATTTGGCTATGAACAAATCCGCTAGCGGTGGACATAGTGGAGCCCGTAGCGATAGCACCTCTTTGACGGTGCAGCTCCCCCGTTAGATAGAAACTGAACGTCGGAAGTGCATTTGGCAGGAGATTGAATGAGCCAAGCTTGGATAGTTTGCAAAGCAGTTGATAGAACTGATCACCTAAAATATTTCGATGACGTGAAGGCTGCAGGACAACGATCTACGAACAGCGGAGTTTCACTTAACCGACCCCATTCTCAAGGTCCGGATAGGGAGCTTATCATCATTAGCGTAGAGCGAGATCCAGTGAAGCGAACTGCACTGATCGCTGTCAAGCTCACAATGTACACAAATCAAGTAATAAAGCACAAGATGGAGAGGGCTTGGGCCTACTTGGAGAGAGACAAGGAAAGTGAACCTCTAGGATGTACACACAGAGAGAACACAATCGAACTATGAATACAAGATAAGAAATGACAACTAGAACGCCACTACTGTCGGTTACTCACCATATCGTTCAGTGTCTCCAACCAACCGATTACAGTCTTTTGGACCCCAACCTAAAAGACGCGAGACACCGATTCTACCTAATCGCTCTGTGCATTTCTTCATACCTCGTTTCCACGTCATCTGTTGACCTCCATTTGGTTTCCTCTAACCTAGAGCCGCAACCGCGAATAAGGCGCGGTGTGGTAGACGATGGCTGGGCATACGCAATATGTATCCTATCCAGCGAAGCCGACCAATCTGAATTCGATGGGGCGGATTCTTCATAGAATCACTACCAAATAAGCAACGCCTTACCTCAGTTGTTTACACGCTCGCTCCATCCAACCCGAGCCAAACTACACAAACATCGGCAGTCGAAGAGTTCTAGAAGACGGATATCTTCCACGCGCAAATTTAGGGTCTCACAACCATAAAGCAGAACTGACGCAGTATACACGACCTTTCAGTTTCAACGAAACATCGCGTCTGCACCAAAGGTGTTTTCAGTCCTGTGTAAGCTGCTCGAGCCTTGGAAACGTGGGTGGTTGAATTTTTGACTATGCTACCGTCATTTGTAACGCAGCTAACTAAGTAGGTGAAACATTCCACTACATCTAATTCTTGACCATCAAGCATCAGTGCTGGGGTAGACGACACCCAGTCTTGTAGCATCACTTTGCACTTTTAAGGTGCAAAGCGCAGGCCAAAGGAGTTACAGAACTTGAAAATCTGTCAAGAGCGCTTTGCGCATTCTCTACACATTCGAAAAAACAAACGATATCGTCAGCGTACTCTAAATCGCATTGCTTTTCTCCTGCTGTCCATTTCATACCTACGTTTTGGAGACCACTAAGTGAGTTCTCCTGTATTTCATCTGCGACGAAACTGAACAGGAATGGCGAAATAGAACACCCTTGAACAGCACCTCGAACAATTTACTTAGCCCACCGTAGACCTCTACGCTACCAGANCTACCAGAAGTATGCAGATACAGCGACCGCAATAGGTTTACGTACGTCCGCGGTATTCTTTGCAAAGGAGCGGCCCAATAAGAGCTTCATGGTCAACTGAATCGAAGGCTCCTTTCAGGTCAAGGAACACCGCGATTGTTGGCCGACGATATGTGTGACACAATTCGAGGACTTGACGCAGAGTGAAGATTTGGTCGATGCAACTGCAACCTGGTTGAAATACGGCTTTCTGGTAGCGGATATTCATCCCCCTAAGGGTGTCAGGTGGTGAAGTATCACATAAGTCAACGGTGATGTGATTAGCGGGACTAAACTAAACTAATCCAGTGGGAACCAAGTTATTTGGGTTCTTTGCATATTGTGTGATGAACAGCAGAAGAGATAAACTCCATTATCGACAATGCCTATCATTCATTCATGGAAGCTGACAAACTAAGCCCCAGGACATGGAGTAGTGAATTACAAGGCCCTGCCAGGTAAAACCTGGTATTGGGCAAGACGACAGCAAAGCCGCCTGTCACCAATGGATGGTATGGTGACCAAGGATGTGGCCCTACAGACGATTTATCCGCAAAAACTGCATAAACGTCCTCAGAAAGCACCGTAACGTGAGCGAACCTGAACCCCGATAAAATAAAATCATCGCCGTTACCCCCTTTGCTTTACAGGTTTTATTGAACTAAACAAGAGCTAGAAGAGCTTGAAGAAAAAAAGCGGAGTGGTACTGGTACCGCATTCTCAAACTACATGTTCGCCTCATGACTCCATCCACGGGGAAAAGCAGTTGACTTGACTTGTGTGAACAAGAGACACGGTATAAACCATACAGTGGAAGCTTTTCTATCCTACACTCTCTCTGATCAGTGGATCATTCTTATGCCAACATTAACCCCATATTAGCAACTCGATAAGGAAATCAACCTATAATGCACACCGCTTATATTCTGATTAGTATAATGGAAAATAAAGATGTTTTATTTTCGAAAAGTGATTCAATGTTATACCCCATAGAGAAAGCGTCCAGTATTCCATAACAAACACTAGAAAAAGTACAGGCTCTATTTGATAAGGATGGTATTAGAAGGGACGACATTGACAGCCACCGAGGTTTATTGTTGAACCATGAAATTTGCAGATACAGGGCATATGACTTGAAACGTACGACTATGTTCAAACCTGATGATACAGGCGACGCACTTAGCGCAAGTAGCAAAGCTGGTATGGAACTCGATTACTGATATAGCCGTTGAAAGATAGCGGTTTAGTGAATCCCTCTCGGAAATTAGCGTCAAGTCCCTTCTGTGCAAGTGGGTGAAGATGATTCGGTTTTTCGAGATAAACAATGTGTTTAGTGTTAAACGGATGAGAAACGAGCTGCAAAATACTGTAAACTGTAGCCTTTCCACCGTTGCGTGATAAGCCCCATGGAAGATGAAATATCAGAGAAGACTCAACTTCGAAAATATTGTCGCCATACGCTGAACGTGAATCACAGTTGTTTCACCTCAGTGTGAGCGCATCCAAGCCGTATCACATTTATGCAAATAGCCACCAATTTATTTTGAGTAAACTTAAGAGTTGAAAGGTTTCTTAACGATAACCAAATAAACACTCGCGACGCATATCAAGCGAACAGGGACCAAATGCGTTAGAACCAGGGGTATGCGTAACGACATTTATTTAAATGATGATTATTATTGGCGTTTGCAAATGAACGTGAGTAGTTTGTAAAACACATCAGACTAGTAAATAAACTGTTCAAAAACTTGAAGATAAAGAAGAAAGCTCATTAGTGTTTGTGCAAGTGCAAAACAGCTAAGGGATGAAAAGAATATTGAACTCTGAATTTTATTTCGGCAAAATCCGGCAAAGAAATGGAGGTGGAATTCATTATTTCGTGAGGAGTGGATCGAGGAAGTTTGTGAGTTCCTTGAAAGCTTCTTCCAGCTGGTCGTTGATGATCACTTTGTTGTAAAGGGAGCGTCCAGCATCACTTTCGGCGAACTCAATGTCTTTGCGTGCACGGTCTAAACGCCGCTGTAGTGTTTCTTCCGTTTCTGTGCCTCGATCACGAAGCCGCTTCTCAAGTGCCTCAATGGACGGAGGGCGAATAAGGATGTAGTGGGCATTCAGAGGGGGGTTTAAGGCATGAACCGATTTAACTCCTTCCAATTCAACGTCCAAAATGCAAATAAGCCCGGAATCGAGAACCTGAACAAAGACAAACAAGAATATATAAATTGAATGTAATTCAATCCTCAATTAACAAGAGTCTGTGTTGGTCATTAGCTGCAAGATGAACATTATTCGCTGAAAATCGGCAATTAAATATGAGAGCTATGTACCAGACCAATAGGTTGAATAACCGAAACTGATAGCCACGCATGGGGTAATCGTACATGAATAATCCACATAGCTCATATATATATATATATATATATATATATATATATGTCTTTTGATATAAATTTGCGACTACCATCCTATTTTGTTGAGACAATCTTACTAAGGACTGTCGCC